ACATCTTCTTGCAGGACAAGATTTTCCTCTTCCTCTTCAGCCAGTGCTGTTGCAGAGCCCTCATTCCCTGGTTCCACATTTTCCCCATTCCACACATTCTATGTTCTCACCTCACCATACCTCACAGCCCCCATTTAAATGGGGATGGACCCAACCTCGCACTGCTTAAAAGATCCACAAGTTCTGTTTTATTAAATAAAACATAGCAAAGGATCTACAACAGCATTTTATCACACACACTTGCAAACAGTCTGCCTTTCCCTTCCCTTTGCTAAACTCTCATGGTTTCTTCCTCTTTATCTGACTTCCTTACTGTTTGCCTCACATCCTTCCCTTGACAGTTAATGATTAAACTTTTCATCTTTGTGGCCTGTCATCTCACATATTGTGGTCTCTGATCTGTCTCTCTCCTCAGAGAAAATCAAACTCAGAAAAAGCATGCTTTTGAATCCTGTATTTCCATGTGCCATTTTACTACACTTCTTCCCTAGATAATGAAATTCATTGAACCCTCAGCTGTTACCCTAGCCTACGATTATAATTTCCAGCTTTGGTCTGGACTTCTCCCAAGCTGCTTTTTATTACTCCACCAACTGCATTCACAGTTTTAAGCCTCTCTGTGGCTGTTTGCCAGCACCAGACAGTCCCTTGGTCCTTCTGCTGCTCTGGCACTGTGGTGTGCAGCTTCCCCCAGCCAAGCTGCTTCTGGCACACACACATGTGGAGCATGTTCCGTGGTGCTTGTGTCTCTCCTTGCTCTCCTCCCTCTTACCACTGGTTCTGACTGATCTTCCTGCTTTTCTCTTTCTCTCTCCTCCGTCCTGAGTCACCCATGTCTCACAGAAGGCTGCATTCAAAGACCTCCAGCTCTCTATAACCCTCTCCATTTTCTATCACTGCCAATGAGCAGAGGGAAAGCAGGGAACATCAGTGTAATGCAAAGCAGGCAGCGATTTGAAATGTGTGAAAACTGCTCCCTGCTCAGTCTGTCCTTCTTTGGCCTCTGGATGTTGATTAGAGTCTGTATTTCCCAGCAGCTGGATTGTGATGGGGACTTCTCGCTGTTGTGGTTGAGTAATAGCTCCTGGCACGAGAGGTGAGACAGCCTTGGGGGCAGAGTTAGGGCAGTACTGTACCCTGTTGCCTCTGAAGGGAAAATTAGCAAGAATCCAAAGTACTGTTTGGAAAACAGGACACACACAGTGAAAATGCATGTTCTGTCTACTTTTCTCATAGATGAAATCTAACACCAGAATGGGAGAACAAACTGTTGATATGGAGTACAAGCAAAAGCAATAGCAGTCTGTGGTCTCTGATATTATTCTATAGCATTGTATCAGTGACAAGGAAGGATTAATTTATGGGAGCATATACTATGAGTCCTGCAGCACCAGCAGGACTCTTCTTTGGTGCTTAAAGGGGACAGCTGACATTTGTTTGAGAAAAGAGTGTGGCAAGCATCATCCTGTTCCTCAGGCATGGCTCCAAATGCCTTGCAGAGCTGACAGTGTGGAAATCAGTGTTTTTCTCTGTGTTATGCAATGGATCCTTTTATTGCCAGGATTTTGGCAAGAATCATCAGCAGAGGCCCAAAGGGTGTCCCATGGGAGAAGTCTGTAGGGAATATTCTAAACAGAAGCAAAAAAAAATCTCCTAACAGCTCTGCTCTTTTTCACTCAAATACTGATAACAGGATGAAAGGTTCTTAAAAAAAAAAAAATATATATATATACACATATATACATATTTTCCAGGAATATCTGTGCAACATGCTCTTTCCCCTCTTCTGTGAATGAAAAAAAAAAAAAAAAAAAAAAAAAAAAAAAAAAAAAAAAAAGCCTGGGACTCATAGACTTAATAAATGAAGATTGCCTTATTTAAGTCTGGTGGAAGTATCTGTTCCAGGATGCAAGGAGGAAGTGGGCACTGTCTGGAGTTTAGATAATATCCATTAATGTTACAGATAAAAGATGGTTCTAGAAGGAAGTAAAGGGGTGCAGTGTGATGTTCAGCTTCTTGGCTGGGCAATATAGATTTATCCCCTTTTTTCCATTAAACAAAACTCGAATGACTGCAGCATTTCCCACCTGCTCTCCCCCTGCCCCATCCATGTTAACGTGCAAACTTTCTGTGGTTTTGCAACCATTTCAACCTCATTCTTGCTGAGATCATGGCCTCAGGGTCACATTGCAGGTCCAGAGACCATGCTGAACAAACCCCAGTACCACCTTCTCTGATGCTTTCTTCTCCCATCATCACTGCTTCTCCAGCTTCCAGTGCTCATATGCAAACCCAAACCTTCTCTCCAGATGGCCTGAAGCTCTTCCACAATCTTGATTTGCCTTTCTGTGGGGAGAGGTGAATAAGGACAGAGTGACAGCATGGCTGAAAAAGCTGCAGGCACTCGGCAGCAGCTGCTCCCTCAGCACAGGAGATGCTCACAGCTGCCCTGAAGCCACTCCTAAAGTCACACCCTTGTGCTGTGGAGTCTGCAGTGGTACAGCCACCTGTTTTCAGAAACCAGCTTAGAGAATTAATTAAACTTATTTGAAAAGAAGCATGTCAGGTAAATCCACCGGCTTTGGTATGTCTTAATGATATTAGTATTTCCCCTTTATTCCCCTGGCTTATTAGTAGTGAAAAAATGACAGTTTGCTGAGTGTATGACAGCCAGATATGTTCATCCTAAAGCTCACAGATGTGGCATGGGGAATTTCAGCCTAGATGAAAATTTGCCAAAGCTAAAAGTGCCTGGAAGCAGGGTTTGTTAATGGAAAACAGAATTTTAACTGAAAGTACTGCTACAACTATGCCATCCGGAAACAGCTTTTTCTCTATTCACGCCAGGGGCAGTGTTTTGGGCATTCCTTGTTCAGGCATAGACACTTCTATCTGTGGCTCAGAATCAGGTGATCAGCCCTCTGAACCAGGCAGCATCTGTGGGCAGATACAGGACAGAGGAGGGTAGTTAACTTTCTTCCTTGCTGACTGTCCCTTCCAGAAGATGAAGGCATCCTGGAGAAGGGCTGGGGAAGCCCAGGGGAGGGGCAGACCCTCATCCAACACAGGCAGCATCCGCACTTTCCTAATTTGGCAGGAGTTTCTGCTGCAACTCTTGAACTGCTCGATTCCCTGAGGTGCAGGTGATATTTGTGCAGATGCAGATTTTAACCTTTTTAATCTTTACTTTGTTTCCACTTTCAAAAGGCCACCAGATTATTTGTATGATTAGTCAATTTGACTAGAACAAAGAGCAGGCACACACAAAATGGGAAGGAAAAACAAGGAGTTATCCCAGGACCATGTGTGACATCCTGCAGCACTGTATACAACAATAGAACAGGAGGGAAGAAGGTGCAAGAAAGCATTGCTTTCTGATAAGATTGCTACATTCTGCAGACTGAATTGTCCTTTGCAGAGGAAAGAAAAGCTCTAGCAGAGCTACAACCTTTCTTGCTTCTTAACCTTCCTCTGCCTATTTGGTGGTAATTTCAAGAATGCAACCTGCTGTGGGGATGATTCCTTGATGCCAGGCTGAATATCGCTTCCTGGTCTCATTGGTGTTGTTACTATGGCAGGCTTACAAAGGGCAGAGATGAGGACAGACTTTCCTGCAAGGCCTCAGAGTTTCGCTGTCTCCCCTTATGTGAAAGAGCTCATTGCAAGTTTACGTATGGATGTTACTCTCAAAGATTTCTCAGCCTTTTTTGGCAGTTTTACATTTTTCACCTTCTTCCTGGTGTAAGAACTATATAGGTCTCCCACATCCAAACACTTGATTGCTGTACTACACCTCTGACAAAGTAGCTTTCCCTACATCCCAGCATTACACAGATGGGAGGAGGTATGAGATCACCACCACCACTCCTCATGGCCAGTAGGTAAGTTTCCCTGGCATTTACCCGCATGCTGGTAACAATCCTGCAACTTCACTTTCTTTTCTAAAACCAATAACTTTCAATACTAATTTGTCAGGCTGCTAAAAAGGAAGCATATCCCTTAAAAGAAAAGGATGCTTGAATGTGGGGCTTCCAGAGAAGCGGCGAGTTTGTTAAACACAGTGCTTTTAGGTGAGTCCGAAGGAAGGTCCTTGTAGAAACTTCATTTTTTTTCCTTACAAATCAAATAATCCCTACAGAAATTTTACAAATGAAAATATGAAACCAGAGGCTGTCAAAACAGGGAACTGGAAATGCATAACCCTAAATCAGTTCAGTTTGACTGATAAGTGGAACAGCAGGATTTCTCCCCCTCCTTATTTTGTACAACTCATAGCGCTGCACAGTAATTTAAATGCAGAGCTAATGCTACATCTGCCAGGATGTAGAATGATGAAGACAGATAACACAGTGATGTAGTGTTGATTCACTAGAGGTTTTTCTCAATTCTGAACACCCGGCGAAAGGGTCCTATTGAGTAATGGCAGCAAACATTCCTCCATCCATATTCATTTAATTGTAAAGCTGACAGCTTTGCCTGCATGTACTGTAGTGCAAAGCCAGAATATTTGTGATACCAAAAACTTTTGGTCTCTCACACTGAGCAGGAAGGAGAAACAGAGCTCCAGATTCCTACTGGCCTTATATCTCCTGTGTTCAGTGGTGAGAGTTTGAGCACTGGCTTTAAAAAAAAAAAAAAAAAAAGAACTTGCAGATCTTGTTGACTTTTTAAACTTTCTGTTAGCTGCTATAAACTGGGCAGCAGCTGAACATGCTTGAAATGAAATAGTAATGGCAGTAAATGGGCTTTTTTTAATTCATCCCCTCTCACTGAACTCACAGCACAAATTTAGAAGCAGGACCGTCACATATAACATAATGTGTGTAACATACAGCAAAGAAACCACAGTTTTACTCCCTAATTGTGCAGTTAATTATGCTATATCTACAGCAATGAGTGCTGCTTCAGCATGTCCCAAAGATGACACATAAGCTTTGGCTGAAGACATGGTATAGCCCCTGTGATTTCTTTTTTTTTTTTTTTTTTTTTTTGGCTGTGGATCAGATTTCCAATGAGAACCAGTGATTTCGTTAAACACAGAGCATGTAGGAACAGTTTTACTCAGTCAGAAGAAGTCCACCCAACTCAGAGTCTTGTAACCAAGAAGAGAGCAAAGGAAAATGCCTAGAATATAAAAGATAGGAAACTGTATCCAAAAATATTCCCTCATCCACCCAGACTTCCATGCCTTAAAACTCTGGGACTGCCACACCCAGTGTATGTTTGGTGTACCTCTTCTGTGATCTTGGCTCATTTTCAGTATAAACTCCTGATATTTCCTCTACTGTTTGATCGATACAGAACCAACTCCTTTGGTTTTTCTTGCTCCTCCTAGCATCATCTGGTTCCTCCTCATTCTTCATAGGGATAGAAAACGGTCCATCCCCTTCCACTCATCCTCCATCAGGCTTCTTGCACTTGAACAGACCCCTCCTGTACTGCCCTTGCTGTTTCCCCAGTTGACAATCCCCAGTCACTTTGCTGTTCCTCACGCGAAGGCTACGTCCTTTGTCTCTTGAACCTTTCTAGCCCTCTGAACTCCTTCTGAGCTGGGAGTGGGGGTCAGAGCAGCAGAGACCATTAAAAATGCATCTGAACCAAGGACTGGTGCCAGTGGCACTTCATGTTCTCACTTCTTTGTCCGTTATACAACCCAGCTATGATTTAGAGCATTCTGAAGTCTTCCATTCCATGATTCTCCCCTTATAAGTGGCCAGGAATCACAGAGTGCAAAGCAGGCAGCATTTCAGCTTGAATTCTCAATGCTTCTTTCTCCAACACACACACACTCATCCTCAGATGACACGGTTGGCATGAGGATCCCGCCTTGCTTTGCTGCTCAGGGCATGGCACTGCCAGGCTGAGGTCCCGCTGCTGCTCTGAAAGTTGTATTTTCATGAGTCATCTTCTCAGCCAAGCAGGGCAGCCTCCTCCAAGACCATCATGCTGTTTTGGCTGCAGTGGGAAGTTTGTACTCCTATAAGTGGCAGTGCCCTGTTGTCGTCCTCCCACAAAGTGCCTGTAAAGCATTTTAAGTAAGAAATGAACGATGGTGCTGGTGTTCTGCGTGAGCAGGTCTGTGGGCTTAGTGCTGCCATAAATCACCTGCTCACACAGTGAGGGCAATGCTGAGGAGGGAGGGAGCTTAGCAGGCTGGTGAGAGAATGAGGCTTTCTGAAGTGTTAAGGAGGACAAAATCCCTTTGGGGAAAGGAAGGAAAAGAAGGTGAAAACAGGAAGAATAATTATAGGCCCTACATCTTCTTGATGAAGGAGGAGATTTTCAATATTTCAGCTACACTTGTGTTAATTAGAAATATATTAGTAGCGGAGAATTGAAGCAGGTTTGTAACTAGCCAGTCAATGTAGGCATCATAGCATGAAATCATGCTACAAGACCAAAAATGTGTTTTGCTAACCATCCATTAAATCTTAATCTCAAGTTTTGCAAGCCATTAAGATTTTCAGGTAAACTTTCCAATACAGCCAAGCAAATCAGGAGCAATGCAGTTGCTTTGCTCACAGAAGAAACCTAGGCAAAGCAATCAGCTCAGAGGTGAATATAAGCTTCCCCTCGTTTTATAAGTCTCATTCTTATAAAATATGTCAGGCTGGAAGAGCCAGAAACAAAGCTCAGAAAAAATAGAGCACCGGTTTCCACTTCATGGAATGTGATAGACAATTTATGAACCCCTCTCAAAATGAATTTGGCTTTCCATGAAGTTCCAATGCCTCACATTGAAGTAACTCAGTTTTCCACTTCTCTAAACTCTCTTCTCCATTCTGAGATCTCTGATGCTACCTTAATACAGATGGATCAGACAGATGGCAAAAATGTAATGTCCAGAAGTCAGTCCAGAAGTATTCTGGCCTTTGGGTAAAAATTGAGCCACTGAGATACTGATAATCTGCCTTTGCTTCTGTAGAGAACCAACAGAGTGGAGTACTACCAGATTACAAGTGCTACTGGATGAATAAGGCTTGGAGGTGTCTACTGCCTACATCTGGATGTGCTAGTGACAGTTTTCCAAGCCCTGCACATCCAGCCACTTCTGCAGAGCAGAGGTCTAACTTTTTAGGCAACCATTTTTTAAAGCTTTTGCCAAGGATCTGTTTCACACCCACCTCCGTTGCCTTCAGTTAGCAAAGTGTGAGAACCTGACATGTAAATGACAACGGAGCCGAGCTACAGCTGAAATCATTTGTTTAATTCACTGACATTTCTGGGACAGTGAAACTAAAAATGTCTGAACACTCAGAAGAAGAGCTTTTGTTTCATATACTAATAGCTCTCCTTGTTCTGCTTATGCAATTGTCATCATTTATTCTGATTCCCAGCCCAGCAGTTTGGGGTATCAAGCAGATACCAAGGATAAGGGAGGCTTGCAGTAGCTGCTCTTTTCTCTGCTCCCCAAATAAAAAGAACCATATGCATTGCCTGTAGCCCATTCAGTGCTCGCCTCCCCAAATCAGGCACCCATTTCTGTGGAGGCACTCATTTCTGTTGATGGCATGCTATCAGAGCCATCAGCAGAGAGGAGACCTGAGGCACAGAATGGGTGAGTGGATCTACTCTGCCAGCATCTCCTCCTCACTGTCTGCAGCACTCCTGGTTCTTATCCACTGCTTTACGTGGACTAATCTGGCCAGTCAGCGTGGATTGGGTCCTGCAGTCACTGAATCATAGAATCACTAAGCTTAGAAAAGACTACTAAATCTTCCAGTACTTGAAAGGAGCTCACAAGCAGGAGGGGGACTGACTTTTTATGCAGATTGATAGTGATACGACAAGGGGAAACAGACTTAAACTGAAAGAGGGGAGGTTTAGGTTAGTTGTTAGGAAGAAATTTTTCACTCAGAAGGTGGTGAGGTGCTGCCTAGAGAGGTTGTGGATGTCCCATTCCTGGAGGCGCTCAAGGCCAGGTTGGATGGGGCCCTGGGCAGTCTGATCTAGTTGTTGGCAGCCCTACCAACAGTGGGTGGTAAAGGGTGGAACTAGATGATCATTGAGGTCCCTTCCAAACCAAGTCATTTGATGTGTCTATGATACTAGTCCAAATGTCAGCCCTTTGTCACCATGCCACTAAGCCATGGCCCTTAGTGCCATATCTACACTTTTCTTGAAAATCTCCCCCAAGGGTGACTCCACCACTTCCCTGTTCCCTGGGCAGCCTTTTTCTGCAAAGCTAACTAAAGAAGCCACTTGTATTGGAAAAGCAAAACTCCAAGCTACAGCTATGAGAATCTCTCCTCCAGCTAAGCTGCAGGCCATGCATGTAAATGCATGAAATTCCAAGACTCCCATGCAAAATGAGAATGTTGTAGAAAATGCTTCTAGAAATGTAAGCATGTGAAGAAAAAATGAAAAAAAAAAAAAAACAACACACAGATTAAAAAAATATATAATCCCAGATGTGCTGTGAGCCCAGAGCAAGCCAGAGGTAGGCTGCACCATGGGACAGGGCTAGCTCAGTGCCACCAGGCCCCTCACCTTTCCTCCTTCCTTTAACTTCTTTGATTGTATGGTGGGAGTCAGCTATTCGTTAAGCACTGAGTGCTAGTAATTTATCACTTACTCCTTCTCCCACTCAGAAAAAATCCTATTGTTTTATCAGCACTTTGGGATCCTTTTAAAAGTAGGTTAGAAATCCCTACTTTGATGCATGAGAGAGATCTGGAAAAGGTGAAGTGTACAACAGGCAAGATCCATGCTGTGTCACAAGTACTAAAAGAATACAAAATGACTTCCAATTGAAGAAGTTGTGTTACTTCATTTAGGACATCATATCACATTCACACATGCAAGGCCAGCAACTCCAGTGACCTGGAGAGAAAGGCTTTATGAAAGTATGATCCCAGCTGCTTTGGGAGACTGTGGTGGAGAATCAGAGGTGGAGGATTCAGGATGTGGAGTCTGGGTTATGAGTCTACTTCTACTTACACTGCTGGCCCTTATGCTGCTCCATCACTGACTGAGAGAGAGCTTGCAGACATCCTTCAGGGAATGCACATGAAAATAACGTGGAGTGTGTGTATATTTAGAAGGATACCTGGAAAAACATAATTCATTATCTCAGTTGAGCTGAAAGTGAATTGAACCAGTTTTAGCTCTCACCTTCCCTAGCACAGATTAAGTGAATGTCTGGCTAGTAGGGGCCAGTTTTTCATTCAGTATATTTGCAAAATTACAATTAAAAGCACCCAACTTATTACCTGCCTATACAAACACCCTCAACAGTCCTGAGATGAGGAGTTGTGAGCTATGTGCCATTTTCTACCTGTTCCCTTTTGGCCAAAACAGAGCTGGTTACATCCCCTGCCTGGGTCAGTGTGTGCCAGGTGACATTCTCTGATCAGTCAACACCTAGGGGGAATGTGTTTGTTAGATTACACACAACATCTTGTTAGTGAATGATGTTTAAAGATACAAAATAATAAGTTGGTTCTGCTGTAGGAAAATGTTAAACTTTTAATTAGAATACTGGAAATAATTGCTAAAGGAAAACAAGAATACGGAGAAAAAGTATGAACAAATAAAAGAACCTTGCAAGGTATGCCATTAAAAATTGTCTATAGCTTTCATCTTCCACTCGTAAAAGGCAGCTGCTCTTTTTCAAGTGCAAGGGGACACAGGCAGCAGATGAAGACCCAGGGGCCTCCACTCCCTTTCCTCTTTGTTCCCAAGCCTGCCTTACTTACCTTTTCTTTAGGAGCACAAGATTTGTTAGTCACTCAGATCAAGCACAAGAGCACTGTGCAGTAAACAGAGAGCAAGGTAGAAGTGTAGTTGTGTCCAACTGGAAAACTTTTTATTTATCCACTAGATTAGCAATGATGGAAATTCAGGTGTTAAGACCAGAATCTGCGCTTCAAGTTTAATGTGCAGATATTCACATTGAAGATAATGTGATCTATGATAAAGAATTCAGATGAATTTTTAAAGAATAAATCATGCCAGAAATCTAAGCACTGTGCTTGATGGAATTATGAAAATAAATGAAAAATGGGAATAAAGTAGATGGGTTATTTTGATTTTGCAAAGCATGTGTAAAAGTGGTATGCAATCTACAAAAAGATTATGTCAGAATAGGCTGGAAAGTGAACAAATGGTTTGCAAAGAGATGAAGGAACTGTAACAAGGGATAACAAATAGTTTTCATGATAAAGTCTCAGGAGCTATGCGATGAGATACAGAAAAAATGACTGTTAGTTATGATAATATTTCCAAAAAAGCATGAATCTTTAAAGTCCAGATTTTGATTCTTTTAGGGACCAAAACCAAAGAAAATCTCAGGAGACACCTCTGAATCTTAAAGCAATATAATCACATTTCAAATCCAATGGGATGAGAACTGTTATTGAGAAAGCAAATGTAGTCCAGTCAGAAAGTCAGTTTAAGTTTCTAGGTCATCCAGACACCTCTGTAAATAATAGCAATGCTCTGTGAAGAATTTCCACTGATGATTTGGGAAATATATGACATGTATATGTGGTGCTAAAATGGGAGGCCAATAGAACCGTGCAATGCTGAATTATTGTATGATGAGAAATAGAAAGATTAGAGCATAGATATTAACGAAATGAAATCTAACTGGAAGAAAAAAACTATGTTACTTAAAGCAGACAAGGGATGAAATTATAAACCATACACACAGAGCTAGGAGCACAGTGAAATGAAGGAGTAAAGGACTGGTGTGAGCTGTGGCCATGCACACAGGTACGCACAGCTTGGGGTGAGCCAGAGTCTTGCATGCCAGCTGCACAGCTCTGAAACTCACTATTTGAATGGTGTCCACAAGCACCATTAAGTCCTGAAAAGAGCAACTGATGCAAGAGTCTGGAGGGATTACATTGAAACTGTATTAAAGGAGCCAAAACCTAAGGTGACATCCATTGCATAGCAGAGGCTCGCTGCTTCTATCACTCATGCATCTAAACAAGTTTACATCTTCAAGGCATAGGCTAATTTTGCTTCTTTTGGTTAATACTTTTGTATCAACACTATAAATACTTCCCTGGTACCACTTGAGAAGTGTTTTAATGCTTTTCTTGAATTTCTTGTCTACAACAGAGAATGCAGAAAAATAAATCAGTAAAAGAAATGATATCTTCCCAAAATTCAAGACAGGTTTAATCTGAGAAGAGGACAAGGTTCTCACTCTATTTTTGTTTTAGTCAGAAACATCTGCTGACCCTTAATTGTGATGCTGATAACAACAGACAACCATGACCTGTTGAACACAATTGGCCCTATAGTAATTTCCAGGTCCTGCAATTAGTAATATGTCAAACAATAAGATATGAGTGCATAAAGGGGAGATGCTAACAATACTTCCACACAGTAGGTGACTGCCTGCAGGGTGATTTGATTTACTGAATTGAGAAGATGACACTTGTCAAAACCTGTTCACAGTTAGAAAAACTTCTACCTAGATCATCAGAAAAATGTCCTATTTGAGAAAAAGAAAGCCCCTAAGGCAGGGAAACAAAAATAATGGATATTATCCACTCGCATGCAATCATGGGGTTTGGAGTTAAGTGAGAGCCTCAACAGCACTGAGGAGGAGTATTCAGTTTTCAGAGACAGACAAGAGTGTGTTTCACACTCATAAATGCATGGATGGGAAGAAAGAAGAGTGGAGAGTTCCAGCAGGAGCTAAACAGAGAAAGATATTTGTTAGCAAAGGAAAAGTAGATTCTCAGTATACCAGTGGTCTTGTCCGTTGTTCCTCAAGTAAATAAAAAACCTTAGTGCAGCCTGGGAAAATTCCCAAAGTAGATCCATAAATAAAAATAATTACTATTAATCAATGGTGGAAACTAAGGCTACATGTTTCTTCTATCAAATACAGTGTGCCTTGGACCATTTTCCAGTTCTTGATGCCCTTTATCATGGCACATCATTTCCAAACTAGGGTGGTTGCATCCAACCTATTGAACCATGCTGTCTCCCCAAACATGGCATATGGAATTAATTTATAAATACATTAAAATGTTTGTTTCTTAGATAGACTTAGCTGAAGTGAAATAGTCTGATAATGTTTCCAATTATATCAAATGCAATTATCAGCATGAAAGAACTACATTAGCTCCTCTGTGACAAATAACATTTTTATGTTAAAACACTGCCTAATTCTTTTATTTATTCTCCTCCCAAGTCTTCATAAATTTCTATAAGGTCAAACAATTCCTAGGCTTCCACTACTAATGTATAGGAGTTCGATAATTAAATTATCTACAGGATGATTCATATGAACCAAACACTTGTAAATCCTACTCTCAATGCTAATATATATAACAAGAACTTATGCATTTTCTGGAGATATATAGTTTAGACATGACATAAATATGATGGCAGAATTCACAATAAGTCAGAGAATGTAAGTCTAATATTTTGTAGATCCAAGGGACACATTAAATAATCTTAGCATATTTCTCAAACAGCTGTTAATAAGAAGTGCTTAACTTGTTAATTAAAAATTTGCCACTAATTACAGCTGGAGCTTCCCACCCAGCATGACTGAAATTTCAACTGGTAATTAATTATTTGAATGTGAAAACGAGTGCCATGGTCATTCTGGAACACAGAAGGGTGCAGTACCATGCTCCTGATGCTGCTGCAGTTGGCTTCAGTGGAAATGGTGAATGACTCCATGGTTCTTGGCAAATCCGTTCCCATCTGGCAGCACACAGGGCTCAATAACAGCAGGTCCAATTACTGCTGCTGTTTCTGCTGACAAGGCACTCTCGCCATCACTTGCACCTGCCTGGGGAAGCTGTTTAAAATATGCAGGAGTATTATCCTGTTTTCAAGCAAAGTGCAACCTGAGAAAATGTTATCTTCTTGCTCAATTTAAAGAATTTGCATATGGGTAATTGTAATGGAGTGAAGGAGTGGCTTTCAGATTCAGCTGAAGTGATATGACAAAAGATAGAACTGACTTACAAATACATACAAGGCAGTGGTCACATTATGTATTTTACATGGAATCACATTTTCAATCATGAAATTTGTCAGGTGGAGAAGTGCTGGCTTAAAGAAAAAAAAATCACCAAGAAAAGATGAGCCAAAGATCAACCCTGTCAGCCTTTTGGATGACATTAAGGATGGAGGCTGGGAGAAGAGGGGTTAATTTGAGGATAAAGGGAAACAGCTGTGAAATATAGAAACTGCTGTTATTCTTGGTGGGTTGGTTTTGTTTGTTCTTTTTTAAATGTTTCTTTTTCTCTAAAGATGAAGCAAGACAAAAAAAAAAAATAAAAATCAGAAAGAGCAACATCAAAGACAGGAATCTTCATTTTAGATAGTTTTTCCTTCCAGAGAAAGACTTACTGCTGGAGGAAGACAAGCCCAGGACTCAGGCCATCATCCTTTCTGAGTCCAGGAAGGCTCTTGTCAGTTCTGGGACACAAAAGACTTATCAGATGCACCTTTGGAAATAAGGAACTGAAAGCAGAGAAGCAGGTTTGGTGCTTAGATCCCAAAAAGAACTGGAGCCTTACAGTTGCTAAACTGTCTTGAAACTTTTGCTCCCAACTTGGTGACTATCACACAGGTCCTTCTCTGGCTCAGAGGCATGTCTTAAATGTGCTTTAAGAAGGCATGGGAGACCCCATAATGCATTGGACCAGGCAACCACAGTGTCAGTGCTCACTCTTTTTAGCAGGCAGATTGAGTTTCCTTTTGCTTAATTCACTGGTTAACTCTGCATTTAGTCATTTTTGTCTCTACAGTCCTTTTTATTAGCCATAGAACTCAAGTATGGTAAAAGGAGTTACTTTTATTTGGATTAATTAGTTCTTGTCTATTTAACTTTCTCTGAAATTCATAAACTACTTTATAAAATAGGCAGAGCTACTTTCAACAAGGAAAGCAAGTCCTTATCCAGCTGATGACCCAATCAATATTCACAAGGATGCAAATATTACATGGGGGCCTGCCTGAGGCTTGGATTATCGGTATTTTCCAAAGAAGCATTGACTGAGAGGAGCTAAAAATCTCTCAGATCTTTTTTCTATTTGTTCTAGAATCAATGTTTTTTGTTTGTTC